CCCCCCCCCGGTACGTGTAGATGTAGCCCTAGGGTGGCAGGGCCGCTTTTTTGTTTTGTTTTTTTGTTCTTGTTCCGCACCGGCCGTCCTGTAGGGGGCGGTGGCGTGGAGAACCAGAGCGCCCTACAGGGCAGTCCTCTTCCTTCGACCGGAGTGGAACCCTCATGGCAGGTGGCAGGCGGCAGCGCAGCGGGAGGGGCCGCGTGGTAGTGCCCCTGCTGTAGCCCTGGCCACCCCCTTCTCTCTCTCTCCCGCCTGCTCACTCCCCCTCCCCCCCAGCCTGTCCCCCTGCACCCGCGCTCCGTCCGTGCCACAGGTTTTTGGGTTTTTTTTTTTGCTTGGGGCGGCCAAAAAGCCAGAGCCGGCCCTGGACTCGAGAAAGACTTCCACTGAGCAAAAGGATAACACCTTGCACCTACCAGAGCACCATGCATCCCAGCATCTCAAAGCACTTTACAAAAGTACCATGTAGATGGGGCAAACTGGGGCAAAGAGTAGGGAAGTGACTGTCCTAAGGCCACACAAGAAATCAGTGGTAGAGACAGCAATGGAATTTAGGTTTGCTGAATCCCAGCCCCTCTGCTCAGGCCATTAGACCAGGCTGCTTCCAACAAACAGTGCCAGAACCTGGCTCCCCATCTCCCTACCCCTTGTCCTGACCATTTGACATTAGGATCCCCTAGCATCAAGAGGGTGCTGTTGGGAGGCTGCTCACCATTGATTTGGTTCCCTTGGAGGTAGAGGTTCTCGAGGTTGGTGCTAACCCGGGGGATCTTCTGGAGCCTGTTATAAGACAGATCCAGCTCTAGGATGCTGCTGGTGTTGAAGGTGTTGGAGGAGAGCCCATCATTGGTTAGGCTGTTGTGGGACAGCCTGATATAGAGCAGCTTGGGGGACACTTTGAAATACTCATCAGGGATGGTGTAGATGTAGTTGTGCTCTAGGTAGAGCTGCTCCAAAGAGCTTGGGAGGCCATCGGGGACCTTCCTGAGGTGATTGTAGCTCAGGTCAACAAGGATCAAGGACTTTAACCCTTTGAAAGATGCTCCTATATCATGGATCTGGTTGTGGCTGAGATACAGGGCAGTAAGGTTCTCCAAACCTTCCAGAGCGTTGGATGGGATCCTGGTGATCTGATTGTAAGCCAGGTGGAGTTCTCTCAGGGACCTGGGCAGGGGGCTGGGCATCTTGGTCAGGTTGTTGTTATCCAGATACAACCTCTCCAGGTTCTTGAGCTTGGCAAAGACCCTCTTGCCCATCTTCTCACTGGTTATCTGGTTGCCATGCAACGCAATCCATTCCAGTGTTGTGGCATTGTCGAAAGCCCCCTCTTGGACGGTGGTGATCTGGTTGTTCTGGAAGTAGACGTACTTCATCCTGGAAGGCACAAAGGGAAGGTACCTCAGGTTGCGGCTGTCGCAGTACAATGCCGTGGAGAAGTTGGGGGGGCAATCGCACTCCTGGGGGCATTCCCGGGAAACGGGCTCAAGGAGGGGCTCCGCAAAGGGGGACCCAGGTGGGACATAAGGGTATTGGGGGACCTCATCCTCGTAGTATGGCATGTAGTTATAGGACAACGCCTGGCTGCGAAGGTACTGATGCAACCAGTACATATCTTCTTCATCTTCATACTGGCCCAGGGAGACCCCACACAGCCCAGCTACTATCAGGACGGAAGCCCAGTGCATTGTGCAGAACCTCATGGAACCTGTATGGAAGTGGGAAAAATATGAGCAACTTTAGGTCAGGGACAAGTGACTAGAAATAGGAAGCAGGAGGGAGTTTATCATGGGGAGGCATGGAGCCTAGAGCATTGGAGAGTGAATCAGGAGACCTGGGTTCTATTCCTGACTCTGTCACTGGTTTTCAGGGTGACCTTGGACAAGTAACTTCCCTTATTTTTTTGTCTCAGTTTCCCCATTTTTAAAATGGGGATAATGACACTGACCTCCTTTGTCAAGTGCTTTGGGGTCTGCTAATGAAAAGTGCTATAGAAGAGCTAGGCATTGTTATCATACCATTGAGGGAGGTGGCCCTTGAGTTGCAGTAATAGAGAGAGATGGATCCAATTCACCATCCTTTCATTTGCTTTTCGTGAACATTCATGCCAGTGACATTTTGATCATGATAATTTATTTATTATGAATAACAATAATAATAATAAATAAATAATAATTGTATTATTACAGTAGTGTCTATAGATGCTACAAATGAGATTGGAGCCCTATTGTGTTAGGAGCTGTACATTGTAAGAGTTCCTACTCCAAATATATATAGACAAGAAGTACACAGGATGGAGGAGAGACAGAGACAGCAGGTCAGTGACAAGCTGAGAAGAGAACCCAAGATTCCTGACATTGGTCACTTAAGTCACAAGGTATTGTTTCTGCTTCCTTATTGGGTGACACCTAAAGAGTTTCCAAGCAATCACTCATAATGCAAATCTTTATACAGATCCATGTGCATTAAATATATTTGCAATTAGACCCCGTGAATAGCAATTGTTTGAAGTGACAAATAGTCAAGATGAAACCCAGAGGCTGAAGTAACCATTCATCATCGACTTTTGCATAGCAAACACATTTATAAAGATCAAAGTCTATTCATGGATAATTTGCAAGCAGAAGAAAAGGGGCTAAATTAGTGGCATGAAATTGTTGCTGTTAATATTTCATCAGGCTGCAGTCACAGACCCTGGCACTGGATGCAATGAGACAAAAGCTGTTGACTGGGGAGGAGGGGTGGCCTGTTGGAGAGGGTTTTGGATTGGGACTCAGGAAACCTGGCTTCCATTCCTGTCTTTGTCACCGACGTCTTTCGTAACTTGGGCAAGTGACTTAATCTACCCCACGCCTCAGTTCCACATCTGTACAGTGGGGTTAATAGAATCATAGAAGATTAGGGTTGGAAGAGACCTCAGGAGGTCATCTAGTCCAATGCTCTGCTCAAAGCAGGACAAACCCCCACTAAAACATCCCAGCCAGGGCTTTGTCAAGCTGGGCCTTAAAAACCTCTAAGGATAGAGATTCCACCACCTCACTAGGTAACCAGTTCCAGTGCTTCACCACCCTCCTAATGAAATAGTGTTTCCTAATATCCAATCTACACCTTCCCTACTGCAACTTGAGACCATTGCCCCTTGTTCTGTCATCTGCCACCACTGAGAACAGCCGAGCTCCATCCGATTTGGAACCCCCCTTCAGGTAGTTAAAGGCTGCTATCAAATCCCCGCTCACTCTTCTCTTTTGCAGACTAAATAAGCCCTACCTAAATAATACTGCCCTACCTTCCCATTAATGACAGTAGGTTTTGGCACACCATGGCCATGAGGGCCGTATAACCACCCACACAGTGGCTTACACGCTTTCTTGAAGGGAGGGGATAATGACCCTGCTGACCGAGGCATCTTCCAGTACATACCAGAAAGCGCTTGATCAGCATTCAATGGCCTGGCCTTATTGTCATAGAGTGACCAGCATGATGGAGAGGGGGCTGCTCCCAGAGGGTTCCAGCTACTCTGAGCATGGTGTGAGTCCAACTTATTGTTAAGGTCTGCTCTGCAGAGGGAAAAGGCTGCCCTTGTGCTTACAGCACTGGCCTGGGATGTAAGAGACCGGGCTTCAACTCCCACCTCTGCCACAGTCTTCCTGCGTCACCTTATCTCGCTCTGGGCCTCAGTTCCCTATCTGGAAATGGGGATAGGAATAACACTTCCCATTTTTTCTCTGTCTGGTGTATTTAGACTGTCAGCTTTGTGGGACAAGGACCGTCACTGCCCATATGTACAGCGCCTAGCGCAAGGGGGCCGTGCTCTTGGCTGGTGCTACTATAATCCAAGTAAGAGTGGAAGATCAGAGGTCCCCTTACAGGCATGCCCAGGCCCTTGCAAAGCTGTGAAATTGGTGCCTGCTGGACATTGTGATCTAGATTTGCTGCCCCTGCAGACAGCCTGTCCAAACTGGGCCTTTGGCGGGGGCGTCGCCAGACTAATTATCACAGGAGGCCTCTGGGTTACGTGTAGCAAGCCTGACAGCATCCATAGCCCTGGCTCAGACATACATACAGAACAGAGCTGCAGGAAGGGGGGGATATTTATAGCTTCACCCCTAATGAGGAATCCCGGCGCTCCAAACAAAGAGGGTACAGTCCTGCTCTGAGCCAGACTGTGCATCGCCACCTAGGCACACTGCTGGCTGGCAGGCTGCTCGTGTGGGAAGAAAAGAGGGATTGAGACACTCCATGGCTGGGCTCTTGGGTTTCTTCCATTTTCCATACGTACAGGAGTTCTGGCAGTCGATGGGGCCCATGAAACTGAGTCTGTGTGTGGTGCAGGAGCTTGGCATGCAGGCTGCTTCAGAGAGCAGCTCTCCTTCTCCTCCCATTCCAGGGGTACCTTGATGGGTAAAATACTAGTCCTACTTCCCGATAAATGGGCTTCCTCCACCCCCACTAAAGGCCATCTTTCCCACTGTATAGCACCATTCCTAGGGAGTCTGACCCCTCTATTTGGCACAATTCCTAGGAGTTCTGTCCCCCAATTTGGCACAATTCCTAGGGGGTCGGTCCCTCCATTTGGCACCATTCCTAGGGGGTTTGTCCTCTAATTTGGCACCATTCCTAGCGGGTCTGTCCCCCCTATTTGGCACAATTCCTAGAGGGTCTGCCCCAATTCCTAGGTCTCTCCCACTATGAGGCACTGTTCCTAAGGGGGAATCTCCACTATCCACTATTATTCCTAGGGGGTACCTTCCTGCAAGTACACACCATTCTGAGGCGGTCTTTCCCTCAATCTACCCGTTCCTAAGGAGTCTCTCTTGCATATACAGCACAGTTTCCCTCTGTCCAATGCCAAGTCTACGGGGTTTGTCTCTCAACCTACAGCCCCCTTCCTATAGGGAGCTTTCCACTGTCCAACCCCATTTCTACGGTGGGGTCTGTATCCCTTTCATGTGTAGGATAACACAAGTTTAACTTCTTCATCTGTCAGCATGAATAAACTGGTCCCAGTTCCACTGGCTGCTAGTCTAATTGGGATTGTGCTGCATAGGGCACCTTGCTGGAACAACCAGAGTCAGACAGCATGAGCTTCATCCATTGCCACCTTCTCACCCTGTTAATCAGGTAATAGCCCTCATCTAGAACCGAATGCAGAGCCAGGTAGATGTGCTTGGTGGAGGAGGTGGTGGTTGGGGGTCTGGAGACTAGAGTCTGGCATGAAGGAAAAAGTTCCTGTCAGGGTGGTTAAACATTGGAATAAACTGCCCAGGGAGGTTGTGGACTCTCCATCTCTGGAGATATTTAAGAGTAGGTTAGATCAATGTCTATCAGGGATGGTCTAGACAGTATTTGGTCCTGCTATGAGGACAGGGGACTGGACTCAATGACCTCTTGAGGTCCCTTCCAGTCCTAGAGTCTATGAATCTATGAATCTGTCTGTCTAGCTTGTCTCACTCTTCCTTGCCAGGAATTTAACAAGTCACCAAAGGAAAAAAAGGGCATTGTTAATAAGGACAAAAGCTCCCCAGTAGTAACCAAAGCAGCCCTTGAGGCTCAGACCTGTGCCATCCATGTCGTTGGCGTGTGATTCACATGGCTCCCTGTGTCAGCGTCGTGCCACCGGCATGGCGAGGGGGTTGCATTCCCTCTGCGGTACAGGTATGCAAACAAATAAAAAAAAAAAAGGCAGCACAACCCATGATAAATACAGAAATCGACTTACCAGACTCAGAGTCCCTTTTCCAAAGCCTCAGTGTTCGTCTGCCTGATCTCCTGTGTATTAAAGAGCATGTGTATATCTCAATTTGCCAGGGTTGGTGCCCGCCCCGCAGTCCTGATCAAATATTGTGCTTGCAGGTCATGGGCACTGCAGGGTTTTTCTTTTGGAGTGACCTCCCAGCGGCAGACAGTTTGCAGACCCGAGTGAAGATACCCTACCACTGCCTGACTTTATAAACAACCTGCTTTTTCTCTCTCCTCTCTCTCACTCTTGTGTCTTTCCTTGCAGAGGCTTTGGCAGTTTCCAGCCTCTCTCTGTTTAACAAGTTAGTGGAATCGTGGGTGTTGTTTGGAACAGACTTTTGCTAGGTCGCCTGCGTTTCTCATCAAACAGAGCTGATGAGGCCGCTTTAAAAAACAACACAGGCTTTGGGTGGGGGGAGACGCTGAGGATGAACGGCTTAGAAACAAAGCATCTTTCATGTTTTCACTGCGGGGGGAGAGATGGCAGAATGGCCCACAGGCTGCATCCCTTGGCTCTGGGTCACCAGCAAACCTTGATATTTTATTATTCTACTATTAAATAGGAATGTATCATAGAAATATTTATTCTAATCAAGCAGCATCCAAGGTACATAAACTACATACCAAAAACCTAATGTCACACTAAGAATTTGTTTTCATCTGCTGCTGAAAGGTGCCAGGTTGACCATCCTGCTAGCTGGAGTCCTCTGCCAAGCCACATGGGAAGCAACATAGTTTCTTGCTTAGATACTGTGGGGAAGGATTCTATAGAAATATCGAAGACACATAGCACATAGACTAGGACCTGGGAGTCCTGGGTTTCTATCCATCCTTTTATGATCCCCATTACTGTAATATCTGGGCATCTTACCATCTTTAATCTTTATCACATGCCTGTGCAGCAGGGCAGCGCTACTGTCCCCATTTCACAGATGGGGGACCTGAGGCCCAGAGACATTTAGTGCTTGCCTCCACATGAACATTAATCTGGAATAAGATAAACTGTTAATTTAAAGTGGATTCACTGTTCTTGATTAACTCCACATGGGGATGCTTTTATTCCAAATCAGCTTAATCCACTTGCAAATTGGAATAACTCCCATGTAGACAAGCCCGAAGGCACTTTCCCAGATTCACACAGCCAAAGGAATTGGACTGGAGTCTTCCAGAGTCAGAGGCATGCTAACTATTGCCCCACCCTTCCTGCGTAGGGGGCTCTGCTCCCAGTTCTGCCACAGATAGTCGCTCAACTTATGCAAGTCGCTTTGCGTCTCAGTGCCAGTTTCCTCACCTGTGTTATGAAGCTAATGCTACTGACCCAGCTTTGTAAAGCGCTTTGAGATCTGGGGATAAAATGGGCCTAGACAAAGGGCTTAAATATTATTATTTATCCACCACACGGGCCATGGCAATCCAAGCTGCTTCCAGATTCCACATTATTCTCTGCCAATTTGCCTCTGGAGAAGCAAGAGGCCTTTGTAACTCCGGGGCTATCCGCTTTCACCAGCTCTCGACGCACAGGGTATTTTTAAAACTTCAAGACATAATTATTAGTTATTCAAACATTTCCTCCCGCTCCCCTCACAAAAGAAAAACCAATAGATCCTCATCCAGTTGTTAATAACCCCTCAGTACAGCAGCAGTCAGGGCACTGGGGATAGGGTTTCTGAAGGAGCCTGGAGTAAATTAGTTACATTCAACAGGCGATGGATGCCAAACTCCCTTAGGGGGGTGTATTTATGTAGATTCCTTTGAAAATCCCAGCCTAAACTACCACTGTTTTTTGGGATGCTTGCGGTGACCCTAAATAACCCATAACGAATTGCTAGTAGGAGCGCTCATTGTAGCCGGAAAGAATGGGAGGCAGATTCATGGAAGTTATTAGGAAAGGGACTGGTTGTATGGAATCATTGTCCTATGGAGCAGCTGCTATTTATTAGGGAAGGGTGTGGCCGGAGAGATCAAAGCATCACCCTTTCTGTAGCAGTGTGAAGGCTGGTCAGAGTAGAGTCCTGCCTGCTACGGCTCTCTCCACGCTGCAGTAAAACACCTGCAGCTGGCCTGAGTTAGCTGACTTGGGCATGCAGGGCCCAGGCTGCGGGGCTATCCGATTTCAGGGTAGGTATCCTGGCTGGCTCAGGCTGGAGGGCAGAGGATTCCAGAGTTGGACTCCATCCTGAGCCGAAAGGTCTACACAGCAATTCATCAGCCCCATAGCCCGAGCCCCATGAGCCTGAGTGAGCTGACCCACGCTAGCTACGGATGTTTAATTGCAGTGTACACCTATCCTGAAAGAGCTGGCCTGATCTGCAGCTACTGTGAGAAGCTGGACTGTATTTTTGGCAGAAATGCCCCCACTGCCTCATGGCATGTTGTCAACTTCACCACAGACAACCCCCTGAAATTCAGGTTCTTGTCAACCCTCTAAACCCCAAGGCTGACCCATTGATGGAGCCCCAGGCTCCCCCTGAATCCCAGGCAGATATTGCAGATCAGTGGCACTATCTGCCTCAATGTAGCCGTGTCCTGAAAACCTCTGCTTCTGAGAACTCTGCAAACCGGGCTACACCCTTCACTTCCCCAGTCCCGTTCCTCAACCTTCCACACCACAAGACAGCGTGGCGAGCAGGAGAATCCCTCAACTCCCACACCCACAAGGGACAGGCCTTTCTCTCTCCCCCGCATCCTACCCCACAAGATGCAGAGAGCATTTCCCCCATGTGTGCAAATTGGTGATCTTGAAAGCACAAACTTGTGCTCCCCCAGCCCTGTGTTTTTTGGCACTGGCTTGTAAGTGTGCTCTGTGTAATGCCTACGCAGTAGTTTTTTCTGCTGTTCATAACACACAACTGGGTGGATGATTTCTTATTACATTGAATGTCATTGGAAATGTCATGAGGTTGTTTAAAAATTTCACGAAAGCCTTGCCCGAAGCAGGATAAAATCCCCACATGAAGCTTGCTACAAGCCGTGCACCATGCATCACTGGTCCCTGCACACAATCATGAGAAAAGCCTTACACTAAGATAGCTGCGTTGTCCGCAAGACTGCCCTGGCCTCACAGCAGGAGCATAACGCATCCCTGACCCTGTGTCCTTGACCAGTTGAAGCATTTCATAGAAGCCGCCTCTCTGGCTGTTCATAATGTTCAGCTTGTCTGTCCACCTCTTCTTTCCACCCGTCATTGAGGCGCTCTCCCTTGTGCTCACTTAGGCTGTGCAAAACATAGCAAACCGCTCTCACACGAGCAGGGCCGGCTCTGGCTTTTTTGCCGCCCTAGGCAAAAAAGCAGCGGCTCCGCTCTCCCCGACCTGCCGGAGCGCCCCGCCGCACCGCCCCCCTCCAGGCGCCGCCCCAAGCACATGTTTGGTGGGCTGGTGCCTGGAGCTGGCCTTGCACACGAGGCAGATAATGTTCAGCAGCCTCCATTCTTGGCAGTAGGTATCTGCATCCTCCCTTCAGTCTCTAAATGTGCACTCCACTGTCATTCTGCAGCTGCTTCTGGCATAGCTAAAAGGCTCCTTTCACCTATCCAAGTATCCATAAAAAGCTTCATAAGCTGGGAAGCAGAGGGGTAAACTCAGGGCAAGTTTACATTACACAATTAAGTTGACCTAACTTATGTCGACATACAGCTGCCACAGTAATTAAATGGCTTTTGCATGCCCACACTATGCTCCGTGGGTTGGTGGTGCACGTCCTCACTACTAGTGCTTGCATTGGTGCGGAGAGCAGTGCACCCTGGGTAGCTATCCCACTGTGCAATTTGCCACCATGGCTGTCTTGGGAAGGGTTTGCAATGCCTTGTGGGAGCAAATGAGTCGCACAGGAGGACCAGGAACATGGTTTCTATGTCTCATGATGCAGTTTTCTCCATCCCATAATTTTATCTGCATCCAATAATGTTTCGTGCCTCTTTTCAAAAGCACCTCCAACCCGCGCATCCGCCATCTCTGTACGCATGGATCCTGCACAGCTGTGCGCTATTGTGATGAGCGTTGTGAGCACAGAGCGCCTGATCCTGCAGTATTTGCAGAGCTGCCAGAGGAGCTGCGGGGAACATAGACATTCCTTGGAGGCTAGCTTGCTGTGGGACACAGTAAGAAACAATTCAAGGTTGTCATTGGCATTCACTGAGCAGTTGCAGACATGACACGAGGAACCGAACACCACCGAGGTCCATAGTGGTCCTCCAAGCAACAGTTCCATTTGTCATTGCAGGATGAGGTGCAGAGTTTCTAGTGGTCTTGTCATCATGGACCTTCTCAGACCACCCTACATTAATACCGATGAACCTTCTATGGGGATCAGCCAGACCTTGCAGCACCGTGCAGAGAGACCCCTTATTGTTGATGAATTCTGAGTCCTGGGGTTGAGACAAAAATAAGCATGTGGGTCCCATCACTACCCCGTATACAACTTGAGAACCCCAATCATGCAACTCCAGCAATAAACCCCTGAGCATCTCCAAGCTTTATGACCTAGGGCAACAGCACATTCTGAATAGCACCACTGCACCTCCATGACAATAGCCCCAACAGTTGATCTACCAACACCACACTGGGCAGTTGCTGACCGGTAGCAATCGGGGTGTGGCGAGCTTCCAGATGCCACTAACCATGTACCTGGGTCCAGCGCTGCAGCTATAGGGTGAGCTCAGCACAGATTTTTAAGAAAGTCACCTCTGATATCCTGAAGTTCTGCTGCCACTGCTGGTCTCCCAGGTCTGCATCTCTGTCCTGCCCTCCCATCATGGCTAGTTGGCCATGCCCAGAAACAGCAGCCCACCACAGGAAGCCGCTCCAGGAAAAGTTGATGCAGAAGTGACTGCTTGATTTCAGCCGCCTCCTCTCCAGGTGCCTGTATTGCACTGCCCCAGAAACCCTTGCCCAATTTGAGATACATGGGAAGCAACCTGTTTGTCAGGATCACAGCACTCAGCAGTGTTTCCACTATGCTGTGTGACAGTGAAATGCCAGAAGAATCACGGGATGCAGTGAGAGGAACTAATTAGTTGGGAATTAATTCGTTTGACCCCAAGTTTCAGAATCCCAGTGCCTTGGGGTAGCTATCCCACAAAGCACAGGGGGAAAAAAATACCAGACTGCATAGAGCCTAGTGGAGGAGTATTGCACCAGGGGATGTCTGCCCTGAATGCTGAGGGCTTATTTGGAGCAATGCAGTGGTGTGTGGGCATGATGATCCCAAAGAGAAGTACATTAACCTGGGGTGATGCGGTGTGGATATGCCACTCGCATAACAGTTGTTCAGGATGACTTAACGCAGATCGACATAACTCCAAACAACTTTCAAGCATGGACATATGCTTAGGTACTGTGACAGACCCAGACCAGTGGGGTATAGGAGTCTGGTAGAGGGCAAATATACTGGTCAGCGGATGAGTAGTTTTCTGTTCCTTGAGTGACCAGAGCAGGGGCTGCACTAGAGTAATCAGGAACCTGCTAGAACCAG